TCATAACAAACTCCGGATTTGCATGTGTGGTCCAACCACTCTGTGCTATGAGGTTATTTAACTTCTTAGTATGATTGCATTCGGTGTTTTGTCTGACTCTTCTAAGTTCCCTATCTAGATATGAAAATGTTGTGTTGACTGGAACAATGTGACAGGAAATCTTAAGTCTATGACTTTCTTGATACGGTTCAGGATTGCTTTTTAAAACAGTTTTGACAGAACCAACTAGAGGAAACAATATGCTTGACTTGGTTTTTGCCAACAAAGAATCACTGATTAATAATCTTGAGGCTAATGATGAGCTTGGGGAAAGCGATCACAAATCACTTAGTTTCAATATATCATGGAATAACTGCAATCAAGTCTCTGTCCCAGACTTCCGCTTGGCCGATTTCATGGCACTGAGAAATTACCTGAGTGGGCTAATTTGGGATGACATGACTATGGGTCAGGTTGGTGGTGTTGGATGCCAATATAACGTTTTTCAGAGCATAGTTCTAGCTGCCCAGATAACTTATATTCCGAGTAGAGAAATTAGATCTAATAAAAATGATCCCAAATGGATGAACAATACATTAAAACATCTCATTGGTCAAAAGAAAGGCATATATAGGCGTATCAAAAGAGGGGATGGGCAGTTAAGAAATCAATATGTTCAGTTAAAGAGAGAAATAAAAAAAAAATGAGAAAAGCTAAAAGGGATTATGAGGCTAAAGTCGCAAGGAAGTCGAAGACTAACCCGAAAGGGTTTTTTCATAAGAACATAAGAACATAAAAAAGAAGGAACACTGCAACAGGCCTACTGACCCATGCGGAGCAGGTCCATGTGTCCCCCCGGATTAGACCAAGGCTCCCCCCCCCCGGATAGGCTCAATGACCCACCCAGTCTGGTCACCTCCACTCAAGGATGGAGCACTGCACCAGACCCAGCAGCACAACCTAGTCAGATCCAACTCACACCCACCCACACCCACTCATGTATTTATCTAACCTATTTTTAAAACTACACAACGTTTTAGCCTCAATAACTGTACTCAGGAGTTTGTTCCACTCATTCACAACTCTATTACCAAACCAGTGCTTTCCTATATCCTTCCTGAATCTGAATTTTTCCAACTTGAAACCATTGCTGCGAGTCCTGTCTTGGCTGGAAATTTTCAGCACGCTGTTTACATCCCCTTTATTTATTCCTGTTTTCCATTTATACACCTCGATCATATCCCCCCTAATTCTACGCCTTTCGAGAGAGTGCAGATTCAGGGCCCTCAGTCTATCCTCATAGGGAAGATTTCTGTTACATGGGATCATCTTTGTCATCCTCCTCTGTACGTTTTCCAGAGCATTTATATTCATTCTGTAATACGGTGACCAGAACTGAGCAGCATAGTCTAAATGAGGCCTAACCAAGGATATATAGAGTTGAAGAACAACCTGAGAACTTCCATTATTTATACTTCTAGATATGAAGCCAAGAATTCTGTTAGCTTTATTGTGAACACTAATGCACTGTTGTCTTGGTTTCAGATTACTGCTAACCAGAACTCCTAAATCCTTTTCGCAATCAGCAGTATTAAGATCTACATTATTTAGTTTATATGTGGTATAGTTATTTAACTGTCCAACATTTAGAACTTTGCATTTGTCAATGTTAAACTGCATCTGCCACTTCTCCGACCATTGCATCAGTCTATTCAAATCATCCTGGATTGCTCTAGTGTCCTCATTTGAATGAATTGGACGGCCTATTTTGGTGTCATCAGCAAATTTGCTTATGTCGCTATTTATTCCCTCATCTATGTCGTTTATGTAAATTGTGAACAACAACGGGCCCAACACTGACCCCTGAGGAACACCGCTTGTGACGTGCCCCCATTCTGATTTCTCCCCATTTATGCAAACTCTCTGCTGTCTATTTGTCAGCCACGCCTCTACCCAGGAAAAAATTTCTCCTCCTATTCCGTGTGCCTTAAGTTTCCTTAATAGCCTCTGGTGTGGAACTCTATCGAACGCCTTACTGAAGTCCATATACACAATATCATATTCATATTCATTACCATGATCTACCTCCTCAAACACCTTAGTGAAAAAAGTTAGTAAATTCGTAAGACAGGAACGCCCCTTTGTAAAACCGTGTTGAGATTCATTAATCAATCTGTGTCTGTCAAGACGACTACGAATTGCTTCGGCAATTATTGATTCCATAAATTTTCCCACTATAGAGGTAAGGCTTATTGGTCTATAGTTCGAAGCCAAGGACCTGTCACCTGCCTTGTAAATAGGTATTACATTTGCCATTTTCCACTTATCAGGCACTATGCCAGTTTGTAGTGATATGTTAAAAAGATTAGCCAAAGGTATGCTAAGTTCCTTTTTACATTCCTTTAACACCCTTGCAAACAGTTCATCAGGGCCTGGGGATTTGTTAGGTTTTAGTTCTCTCTATTTGTCTGAGGACCATGTCACTAGTTACCGCAATCGTACATAGTTTAATATCCTGTTCTACATAATCTATTATTTCAGGAATATTGCTAGTATTTTCCTGGGTGAAAACTGAGAGGAAGTAGGTATTGAGAATTTCACACATATCCTTATCACTGTCAGTGATCTGACCAGAGTATGAGAATGAGGCACAACTCGTTCTCACCGAACAAGACCTCAGACGCCGACGGTGCCTAGAAGCCTCACTAACCACCGTCACCGACACAATAGAACATAACACTGGAAACCACAAAATTTCAAAAACATTAGCATACATGATACTTAAGCACCACCAACCCAACAACACAGGAATCTCATGATCTCATCGTCTACCCGTCCTCATCCCAACATGGCATTCTTCGGGTCACCATGCGTCACTCACACCTTACTCTCCGCCTATATATAATGTCTTTCTACCTCTGTATGTTAGAAGTGATCACGGTCCCAGGACTGAAACGTTTTCTAATAAATATGTCATAGTGTTTGCTTACGTGTCTTTCTAAACCAACTTGTCGGTATTTATTACCAAGGTTTATACGACTGTTATATTACATAATTTATCTTCTTCAGGCCCATTATAAATATTAATTATTGAGATATTGTTAGTGTCTTCCTGTGTGAAAACCAAGAGAAAATAATGATAAAAAATCGAGCACATTTTACTCTCCTGGTCAGTAAGATGTCCAGAGTTATTTTAAACCTGGAAAAAATCTTTTGGAATAGTTTTCGAATCCATAGCAACTTTAATTTCATAGTCCCGTTTGGCTTTTCTTATCCCCTTTTTAACCTCTCTCTTAATGTTAATATATTGATTTATAAGATGACCCTCACCTCTTTTGAAACACCTATAAATTCCTTTCTTCTGCCCAAAAAAAGACTTTTGAACCAATTATTCATCCATTTCGGGTCATTTATATTCGATCTAATTTCTTTATCTGGAATAAATGTTCTTTGGGCAGATTGTATAGTGTTTAGAAAGCTCTCGTAGCTGGTGGAAGAAAATACAGACCTAACTTTCTGAAAACGCCAGGTCCTCTAGATAAACGCCACGTCCTCTAGATAAATGCCACGTCCTCTAGATAAACGCCACGTCCTCTAGGTAAACGATGCACTTTCGCTTATGAACACGACTACAGGTTTAAAATGAATAGAGGATTTGGATATGTTTCAGGATTTCTTACCACGCTGTAGGCTTCTATTGTCACTAAGATGGTGTTCACATTTACTTCGACTCGATAGGTGACCCAGATCCAAAATTCGTTAAACGTTATGTACAGCTTCATAATATTAAAAATTGAGTAAGTGATCAGCGACTATGAGTGCAGGGAAAGGAATGTGGAAACTGTGTCTACTTTGCGCTGACTTTCCTGGATTTTGTGACTAGTTCTCAACATTATAACTCCGATGGTGTTATACGTGATTTTATATCCTACATTCGTGAATATCCCGATGAGACCGCAATCCTTAATGTACACTCAATACTAACGGAGTTTACCACGAGAATTAATCTATATCACCGGGATCCTACACGCTGCGTATCTCCCAGTTTTGTTTCCTCTCCCAGCCTGGAATACCAAAGAAACCAGACGGCGTCGTTATGTAAAATGTCTGGCACTCAGTTGCGTTAGACAGAAGAGAAGAGCAGGAATTCTGTCTCGTGAACTTGTAAATGATGCAATTACAACTTAATACTTTGACTTACGAAGCTCTTCTGAAAACCTACTGAGTTACTTCGTTATCCCATCACAGGACACTGCCACGGTTATAAACAATTGTGTTAAAAATGATTCCTGCATCAGAGAAAATCTGTGCACACAGAGACAGATTACACAAATTAGATAATAATGAAGGACAAAAGTAACAATACCGCTGTTGGAACGTTCTGGTCTGTCCTCGAATATAAATAAATAAATAATCCATGGTAAACGCTAAGCCAATTTGGGTCATTCAGTGCAAGAAATGGTGGAGGCTCGATCCTCCATCTGCTAAGCCCCAGACAGACGCTCTTCCTATTTGTACTCTCCAATATATAGATCTGCCCTCGAATATTAATAAAGTCATGAGTGGGGGAGGAGTGGGGGGGGGGGTAAAAAAAAAAACAAGGGTGAAGAGGTTAGGAGGAAACCAGACTCACTGTATAATGTGAATGTAACAAACATTAACAGAAACTAAACTGGGAATAATAAAATAAAAATTACGTTATAAACACTGTAATCCTTGCATGTGACATCACAGAGAGAGAGGCGTCTACCACATTTTCTGTCAAGTTAGGTTAGGTAAGATCCGTTAATTTTTTAATTGACAATGTCGTAAAGATTTTAATATTTTTGACGAAACCTTACTCAGAAACCTCCCTCTTTTTCTCTATGAAAGCAGAGAAAAAAGTGAGGTAGAGAGATAAAGAGAGAAGCAAACATCAAAGAAAGACAAAAGCAAAGATACAGTGACGATGATAAAAGTCGAAACAAAGTGAAGAAAAGAGACTGAAAGAGCCTTAAATACATAAAAGAGACGCTTCATACCTTCTCACTCTCTGTGTCGAGCGCGGAGGTGGCTTCATCCAGGAGCAGCACACCAGGGTTGCGAACTAAGGCTCGGGCGATGGCTATCCGTTGCTTCTGACCGCCAGACAACTGTGTCCCTTTGGACCCCACACGCGTCTCGTACCCCTGCGGGAGGAGACAAAACAAATGAGCCACATGGCTATAACAAACTGTTACAAATGAATTCTACAATGCTGAAAAGCAAGACTGTTTTGTTTGTTTGAAAAGCAACTCTAGATTATTTAAAGTGGATTCAAGACTGTCTATGTGGGGATCCTAGATTGTTCAATTGGGATTCCACACTGTTAAAACGAAGATTGCAAGCTGCTAAACGGGAATACTAGATTGTTATAGAGGATTCCAGAAACTTAAAATGGAGAACTCTGAATGAAGAGATTCCACATAGTCAGATTGTTATATTGTTGATATAACTTCAAAACTTACTCTCCATAACGTTAGAAAAAAGATTCCATAGTATTATAATGGGGATTCTGTGTTCTTTTTGAGGAAATCTCAAAATATCAACGGCATAAGATATTTTTAAATAAGGAATTCGAGACAATTCGTGTGTGTGTGTGTGTGTGTGTGTGTGTTGTGTGTGTGTGTGTGTGTGTGTGTGTGTGTGTGTGTGTGTGTTTCGGATTCAGATGTGCGCACAGTGTAAACAATTATCTTGATAAACATCGCAAACTACAAAGGAAATCTAGCCACTCGCATGTGAAATGAACCAGAAGAAACGAATACTGTCTCACCTTACTCTTGGCTATTGTCACACAACTCCCTTCATGGGAAGTGCCTTGAAGCTGGCAAAAGGTTCTTGATCCGATGAATTGGAGCTATTTATCTCTTCCTGATATCAAACCTTGTTTATGTATGACTCTTATGGATATAGCGCATCCCAATAAATAAAAAAAATAATAAAAGTTTTGTTGTTAGAGCCTCAGTATGGTTCGGAATCCAGAATCCTACTGTGAATTTTGTAACCCTTGTCTAAGTTGTAAATAAATATGACTTACAAATGGGAGTGACTCGACGAAGTCGTGGATGTTGGCCTGCTTGGCTGCAGCGATGACCTCTTCTCGGCTCACCAGACGGGTGTTGTCCCCGTAGGCGATGTTCTCAGCGATGGTGCGGTCGAAGAGCACGGGTTCTTGGGAAACCAGACCTAGATTGGCTCCTCACCCACGACACGTCCAGCCGCTGCACGTCCTCCCCGTTGATGAGCTGAGGTGGGGCAACACCAGATACACATCACAATATCACATTTAACGGCTCTATACTACCTTGTGCACTCGCTACCACAACCACAGATTTCTTCCTCAGTCTGCACGATCATTCTCGTCTTCACCCACTCAACACCATTCGCAAAACCACCACTATTACAAATAGAGCATTAAACCTTTAAAAGGTTCTCGTCACCGTTCCATGAGCTCCTAAAAATGCTATTGATAAATCACATGATAGAAAAGTTATACGACATATCTAGAGCAATTCACAGCTAACACTTAAATTAAAAAAATAAATCCGAAAATGGATATTTTGGTTAGTTCAGGTCGGTTATCAAATCGAAAATGTATAATGATCCAGGACTAAACTAACTGTGGGTTAGTTTATCTCAGAGATTGTATCTTAATACATATTGTATTGTGTATATTAGTTTTATTGAAGAATTAAAATAAATTAATGAAATACTATATTTTTTTGTGAGGAATCTGATGCTAGTAGGGTCTGGAAACGATCTTGTTACTCTGCCTTCTCTGTTTTTTTTTTTCGTTGCGTTCACAGGCTGGCGCATGGAATTGACAATACACTAGCTGCTTGGCAGCTCAAACTATATAAACTCAGTCTTCTCACCACCACCTTCCAATCTAACGCTCAGTACATCACAAACTCATATAATTAATATTTATTTTTTTTTTTTATTAACACATCGGCCGTCTCCACCAAGGCTTCTACGCTTCCATGACAGAGTTTGGTAAGTGGGGAGGAAAGATGGATGGGGTAAGGATGGAAATATTGGAAAACGGGTTGGGAGGAGGGGGGGGGGGTGGAGGTAGGAGGATATAAAAAGGGTAAGTGGCCCAACACTTTGGTGTAATTTAAAAAAGTGTATTTGAATTGATAAGATTATTTTTTAAGAGGTATAATACGCTGGAGTAACGTCCAGCAGAGTCACATAAATATATAGCGTATATAAGTACATGACTCTGATTTGGTTGTTAATTACCAAGTTGCAATTGCTTTTTTTTTTTTTTTTTTTTTCGCGATTTGCACAACGGATATTTATACGACAAGAAAGGCAATCTTTTCTGGGCCAGTTTATGAGCTCGTGACAATAGCTTCTAATGGTGTGTGTCAAACAATAGTCAATAGCATAATTTTTACATTAGAAAGTTATTTAAGATGTCTCCTAATTAGGGCGATGATTTTCTCAGTATAACTAGACGGGTTCTGGTGTATCAATCCACTTCGTCAGGTAAGTTGCTCAAAATCATGGGTGGAGGGTAATCATCTTTAAGAATAAAACGACGAACCCTCTGTGGGAGAGTCATTCTTTGAGTCCTGTGAGGCGGAGTATTGATGGTGTAATCGGTGGTATTTATCACTTGTATAGGATGTTCTCTATCTGGCATGTATAGCCATAAGCTATCAAAAGCTTTATGAACATCTCTGGTGGCAATTAAGGCAAGATTGCCCTGCTGTTTTAGACTTGCTACAGTGTCAAAAAAAACATTTATTGCATGATTGGTACCTCTATGTGTTCTAAAGCCAAATTGTTTTTCAGTAAACAAGTGATTAAACTCCATATAGTAATTCAATCTGTTGGAAATGACTTTCTCAAGAACTTTTCCAGTGACTTCAAGTAAAGATATAGGTCTATAGTTCCCAGGTTGGTGGATGTCTTTATTGGGCTTAGCAAGAAAGATCATTCTAGCAGTCTTAAAAACAACTGGAAAATGTCCTGAGGCCAAGATGGCATTAAAGATATTTACCAAGGACTGTTTGCAATTTCTAGGTAGGTACTTTATTTGTTTCATTGTTATTCCAGAGAGGCCAGGGGCTCTATTTCTCATTCTTCCAATAACCTGACTTATCTCTAGTAATGTAATAGGTCTAGTAAGCGGGTGGGTATCTTCAAGAGTTGAAGTATCGATGGTAGGTAGTGGTTGTAATCATCCAAGTTTTCATCTCTCCATTCATTTACTAACTGATAATGATTATTATTAAATTGACGACTGTTATTGTGAGAGAGAATTTTCTCCCATATATCACCCATCAAATTAGCCTGGTCCTGTGGATCGTCAAGTTTAATTTCAACATCTTCATCATCCTCATCAGTGAAGGTATGAACTAGGTAGTTAGGAGCCTGTGCTTTGCCCTAAAAGTTGTCGGATCTTACTCCAAAATTTTGCTGGTTCACGTTTATATTGATTAGCCTGAAGAACTAGAAATTTCCATATGTCTCGTTTGTGTTGACTAATCATGTTAATTAATTCGTGCCTTAATCGGTGCAGTGTAGCTGCTGGTGGTTGTCGCGTTTGAATATGCCTTCGACATTCTGCTTGATAATTTCTTAAAGTGTCTCTAATTTCTCTAGTAGGTTTATATTGTTGGTATATCTTTGTGGAAGCTAATTGGCAAGTTGCATTGGTAGCTTCAATTATTCGATTGTGCAGGGACCTGATTGCATCATCAATTGCACTGGAAGGTAGATTTTCCAAAGACACAATTTCATCTTCACCCAGATATGCCCTGAAGGGGTCAAATCCTAGGGTGTTAAGATTGGGTTTAGGAGTTACAGGTATTCTAAATGGAGAAGTTTGTAGTTGTATTAAAACGGAATGTGGTCAGATCCTACATTTCCACCAGGAGATATACGACAGTGAAAGAATGTCACAGTCTCTGTTTGTCAGTACTATATCTGGTGTTTCCTGGATGAGGCCCCAATGTACGATTTAAAGAATGGGCCTTGAAATGACAAGTTTCTAGCTGTCATGATATAAAGAGTTGTTTTCCTTTTAAGTCACCCAGTGGGAACACCAGCTCCACAGTTGAAGAGGGCGGGGTGATGAGCATTAAAATCTCCAGCTAGAATTGTTGGAATATTTCTGCTTAATATCCTATGTAGAGGAATTGACTCTATATATGGCTGTCTCGGGGGAAAATATCCAATTCCTATTACTAGTTGTCCATGCGACGTTGTTAGTTCTATTGCAAGAATGTTATCTTCATCCACATGAATATTTTTAAATGTATAGCCTAATTTAACTAAGATGGCTACACCACTATAGGGTCCTCTCGATTTCTCCACAGTACAGTATCCACGTAATTTAATATGTTGATCAACTCTTGCAGCTGTCTCGTTCAAAAGTATAACATCGGGATTGTAGTTATGTAGTTCAACCTCAAGAAGGTAACGGTTATTAAAAAAAATGTTGAACATTAAGTTGGAAAATTGTAATCCCCATTATTGCTTATTCTTCGATCGTACACTGCGTTCTGAACGCCTGCAAGTAAAGTTATGTGTTGTATCTACACTATCCCTGCTGGACTCGTCAAGGGGAAGAGGGAACTTTTGCGTGGATGCTTGTGTATTAAAAATGCCATCATCTTCACTAGAGGCAGTAATATTAACAGACTCATTAGAATCGTTAGAGTCGTTAGAGTCATCATCATAAAACTGAGGTATGCTATTCTCAGTTTCAGGAAGCAGAGGCTCGTGAGAGTTAATGGGAGACTGTGTAGGCTCCAAGGGAATACCCCTCAAGGAAGGTTCCTTGATGTTGGTGAGGGGCTCTTGATTTAGGGAATTGGATCTGTGCTCCAGTTCCCCGAATTAAGCCTGAATGCCTTCCACATATCCCCCCCCCAGGCGCTGTATAATCCTCCGGGTTTAGCCCTTCCCCCTTGATTATAATAATAATAATCCAAGGGAATATTAGATCGGCAAGGTGAGTTACCTTGGGAAAGTTCCTGTTCAACAGGATCAGCTACAATAGCGGGAGAGTAGGCACCACTTTCTGGGGCATTGTTATGTTCAGGTGTTGACTTATTGGGTTGAGAGTTGACAACCTGGGTTTGCGAGGAGGGCGATCCCTGGGCCAAGGATGACTTAGGCTTATTTTTAGATGTAGAGTATGGTACATACTTCTTGTTATGAGAAGGCTGGGTCATAATAGCCTTCACATTTTCAGGGATAGTGATGGGAGTGATCCCATTATCCATTAACAGATCATTTAAAACCTGAGAGCAGAGTTGCATGTCACCACCTGCTATGTCTTTGGCCAACAAGTACATTAGTTGTGCTCTCGTTATATCCCCGTCTGTGGATACCCGAGACATATGAGATGCGACTGAACCTTGTTGTTGTGTCTGTTGTAAGTGAGGGTTAGATTGGGGCGCTCCAAGAGGGGCAGAATTTTCCCAAACATTGGAACCATTGGTAGAGACCTGAGGAGTCCCAATTTGATCCAGGCAGAGCTGGGAAGGAAGCTTGGGACATGGTTGGCGGTGCCTGGGGAGTGGTCTTCTTAGAAGTGGATAGTTTCTTGGCGTCAAGAATTTTCTGCATTTCCTTTTTCCTTTCAGGACAAATAGCAGAAACAGCATGATGTTTTCCATTACAGAGGACACATTTAGGTGAATTTTTATTTGGGACAATCACGATACGAATGTTGGCCAGAGCAAATGCTACAAATTTGCCCTTGTATACTGCATTTGTTGTTGTTATGACCAAAGGCATAACACTTGAAACATTGTGTCACACTGACAAAGCGTTCCATAGAAATTTGGTCAGATGTACATCTGGTATTGGAACATTTGAAGCCATTTTGACACACAAGTTTGGCCTCCTCAGGTGTCTCGAGTTTTTAATTTTAAAGTTACCTTATTGTTGTTGGGATTCGAGAATTTATGTGCTTCAACAGCCCTAAGGTCAGAATTCTCGGTATTAATGTTATCAACAATTTCATTAACATTGCTGTGTTTCATAAAACTGTTGATTCTGGCCACAAACCCCAGTCCTCTGAGCTTGATAGCTGTCAGGTGCAACTGGGATAACACCAGAAGTCCTCAGTTTATCCAAGACATCATGCTTTAGGAGTTGAAGTAACTCTTCTTCCGAAAGAGGGAAAGTACTGCTCCAGCGTGGGTTTTAAAAACATCCACTGGAGCAACAGTTGAGTTAGAGCAAATACAATTTAGATGTCTTTCATGGACATTTG